GGAGTGGGGTGCTGCAGCTTCCCCTGAGCTGCGCTGGTCTCGGACGGGTCATCTCCTGGTGCAGGGGTCTCCGCATGGGAATGGGGAAAAGCCTTGCAAGATGGCTGAAGCCTGGCGAGGGCTTATAGCTGCGGGGGGCAATTAATGCCTCCTTGCTTTTAGTGCGGGTTTCACCTGTCCCTTGTCCTGGTGCTGACACTCTCCCAACTCCTCCTCCCATGAGGACCTGGTTCATCTCCATTAATTGGCAGAAAACTTTTAACCTCCTTTCTATGCTGCAATTTTTCAGCAAAGTGGCCCTGTCCCCTCCTGGCCCCGGCTGCAGGCTTCATTGAGTGGGCCGAGTGTGGAGAAAACAAACTTGACAAAAAAGGTGGATAGCTTTTCCTGGGATCGTCGTGCTGAAACAGCTTGTTGATAGCTCCAAGGAGCATCAGCAGCAGTACAAGAAAGGGGCAAAAATGGGTGGATGGAGGAGGCAGGGCTGCAGCAGCCGCAGCCGCGGCAGTTAGATTGGCGTGGGCTGCCAGGAAACCAGGGCCTTGGGCCTGTTTGGGCTACAGAAGTTTGGCTCTGTCTCACCAGCTCCTGTGCAGTACAGCTACAGAAGTGGTAAGGCATGAGCTGGAGTTGCATGTCAGTGCTTGGTGTAGTTTTGCAGTTAATGTAGTTGATTCTGAAAGTATCTCCTGCTGTCGAAGCTCTCTTTGAATGAAAGTTAGCCACAGAAGTCTGAAAAACAGAATCTGTGGTACTCCAGCAAATAGAGATGTTGAAAAGGTAGGAGAGAAGAGGAGGAGAATATGCTGTAAAAGTAATGACTGCCACTAAGAAGAGGTCATAAATTTTCTTCCAGATAGTCTTTTAACCTATCTGTTTAACTGCCTTCTGCTGCAGGTGAAAGACATAACATTTATTAGTCATTATTTAGAAACTGAGCCAAGATCTAAGCTTTTTTCACTATTCTAATTGTTCAATAGACCCATTGTTTTTCTATATATATAACTTGAAGGAATAACATAAATTGTGCTTTTGTTTTAGGCAGAGAGGAAAAATTTTGTATGCCTCTTTGTGGAGGTGTGAGTTTTCCTTCACTCTTCAGGTATATATTTATGAAATACTTAATAGAGGCAGGCTAAACTAAGTGAAGGTCTGAATTCAGAATGTGCTAGTTAGGCTGAAACCAAAGTCATGTTGAAATGAATGAAGCTAGAGTAAATTTAGCTGCTCTTCTGAAAAAGAATGCTCACAGAAGACATTTGATATGCTTTGACATTTCATATTCGTTTAATTTATTTAACGGGCTGATCACATAAGCTCAAAGTTCAAATTTTGAGATTACTTATTAACTCTTTTTAATTTGACCTTTACTTTATTTGCAGTGTTTTTTGTTACATGGTTAGAATTTTTCATTTTTCACTTTTTTTTTTGGTCCTACAAGAAGCTTATGTGCTCTTCTAACTGTTGAGAACATTTTACTGCTGTGTTCCAAACTGATCATGGAAGTCTTCTGGGTTTCTTTTTTCTTTTTTTTTTTTTTTTAAAAACCTTGCTTTATAAACAACTCTTATACGATATTATTATCCTACATAAAAAGATACTGGTTGGCTTCTTTGTGATGTGTAATGTCACAAATGTTCAGCTTGGGTTTGAGATTCTATGTCATTCTCCGTTCTTATGGTTCATTACTCATTTCCAATGAAATTCCTATGGGTTTAATGTCTTGACCTAAAATGATGCAAGACATTTGATTTCTTCTGTTCATTAGAACGTGTTCTGAGAGATTTTTGTAGGTATAAATAATGCTAGCTGAAATTCTCTGGGTTTTTTGAGTGAAAATTCATGGAAAAATACTTCATATTTGCGTTTTACTCAAAATTTTTTCGTGTACTGTACTTGCAAAAACATGTATTGCTCTACTGAGGTCTATAAAACTTAGGCCATCTTCAAAGACAAACCACTTTATCTGAGACTTGCTTCTCTTACACGTGTTCAGACATAAATAAGAGAATCACTACAATTGAAACAGCTTAAAATATGACTGGCTTACAGGAGAAAGATTTTTAGCTGGTCTACAGTGAGAACCTCTGTTTTCCTTCATGTACAAGTTTAGAAGAGATACAAGGATTTGCAGAAGTGTAGTTTCTCTAAGTGGGTATAAGGAGTCCAGCCTAGAGGAAGAGCCTGAGAGGAGAATTTTGAACTCAAAAGGAAGGTCCAGCTGTGGCACTCTGGCACTAATCACACAGGGAGCTCTGTTGAAGAAGTTACCTTCTCCAGCTTCTGGAACATCCCTTGACTGATTGGATAGGTGCTACAAGTGAAAATTAAAAAGTATCTATGGGGAAACCGTGGAAGTGAGAAAACGGACAAAGCAGGCTGAAAATGCTCAGAGTAAGAAAAGTTCCAGGTAAAGTGTTAGCAAGAAAAATTGCCTGTTTCAATTATTACTTTTGAAGTTTCTCCATATGACTTTATAAAAAGAATTGCTCCTAATAAAAGCTAGTTCAAGCTGCCCTGAATCTTACAGATATAAGATATATGTGGAATTGTAAGATTGCTGTGAAAAGACTTAACAGGGTCTTAAATGTGCTTATTTTAAAACTATACAGAATAACTACTGTGTTCTTCTCACAGTAACAGAATTAACAGAGAGCAAATTCTCTTAAGTAACAGTTGCCTGTATGAGTCGCCTTATTAATTTGCCCTGTATTAATTTGCCTTAATTTTACATAGATCTGTGACAACACTAAACAAGGAAAAATAGACTCTATGGGAAATGTCACGGGAAGGGAAGGGATCCAGCCACTTTTGCTAGCTAGGTTGCAACTTTTTTACTTCAGATGATGGCTCTATTTAAGTACTTCAAATGAGATGCTCTAATGCTGACACTGTTTCTAATGAGTCATTAACACTGGCCTTCCCAGAAATAATAAAGTGGTTGTCAGAAACAAACACTAAATATGCTTGAAAAGTCACTATGCTATCATAGAAATGCATAACTATGAGCAAAGAACACATATATGCTTTAGATTTATACTTCTGTTTGAAGTAGAACTACTCCTTTTGCTCCTGTACTTTATCAGTTTCTAGATGATTGCACAGGAATACTCTCGTGAGCTTCTACTGTGTCACTAAGCACGTCATGAGCAGAACAAAATGCTTCTGTAAATTGTATGTGCTGTTTAAAATATTTTCCAAGAAAAATGAACAAAACTAACCTCAGTAAAAAAACCCCACAGTTTTAAGCCTGCAAATGTGTAACTGTATTTAAGTGAACAACATGTCACTTATTTCTGAAATATCAAGTTTGTTTCGTTTTAGCCCGCAAATTCACAGACAAGCATGAATGGATATCCGTTGAAAATGGCATTGGAACAGTAGGAATCAGCAATTTTGCACAGGTATTGATCCCTCCCCCCTTACCCAAGTCTGCAGTATTTATTTAGGCATACATGCTCTAGTCCTTGCTCTTTGGACAGTTACTGGGTTTTATTGTTCTAATTGCATATGCTATGCACTGAGCAAGATTTTTGGACTTGGATTTATCACATTATTTGTGAAGTGAATGCTGCTTCAGCATTCTGATAAAATCTTAATCACTTCAGATTGAGCCTATGGAGAGCTGAACATGATGAGAAACTTAATGGTTCAGCTGAATTTAAAACTTCTTTCACTACTTCAGTTCTTGTAGGCCTGAGGAGTTCATGGCTATGTGGAGAGGATATCGTGCGCTTTTTAGGCCAAATTTCCCTTGAACGTGAATACGGTGCAATCCCTCTGGCTAAAGAACAATTGTGAATAGAAGTACAACGTGGCTCTAGGATAGGAATTCCTTTGGATTTTTTGTTTCATTTTGTTCTCGTGCAAGTACTTGATTTGCAATAGTCACAGGCAAATTCAGGGTAGAGATTCACTGTATGTGAAACTTAAGAAGATCTAATGTGAGAAGCTATCAATGAAGAGGAATTAATATTTCTTAGGACAAGCAGCATCTCCCGTAATCTCAGTTTTCTGTAAATAACACTAATACTCTGTAAGATCCCTAGTCTTTTGTGAGATAGGGTACATTCGTCAGTGAAGAGGCAGAAGCCTGTTCTGGTTGAGCTGATTCTTATGGTGATAAAGCTCCTTATTAAGCCAGTAAGGACAAACTGTACACTCTCCAATTGTCTGTGTCTCTGGGGAGGAATCACTGCGTTTTCTTTCAAATTGCACTGGAAGTAAATCCTCTGTACTTTGTAACAAAAAGATAATTCCCTCAAATGATTGGGAACTTCGTCCTTTAAAACTGTTGTTACTCTAGCTGATGCTAAGATCAGCAGATGTTATTTCTCATTCTGCCTGAAGAAATTTGTATATAAACCTTGTAACTCAGCCTGAGGGTTGCTAACACTGTAACAGATAAACAATAATTTGGCATTTGGGGCATGACAACAAAACAGTTTTTTCAAGTTAAATATGTAAAAACAAAAAGTGAAAAATATGTAGTCCTTAAAGAATGCGAATTAAATTTAGAGACAGAGATTGCTTATATATAGTGATTCTAGAGTTACTGTATCAGATCTCTCCTATGTATAGTTTCTTTAATGTATGCTTTGATGCTTTTGTTTTTCTTTTAAGGAAGCATTAGGGGATGTTGTTTACTGTAGTCTTCCAGAAGTTGGGACAAAATTGAGTAAACATGGTAAGTTTCAGCTCTAATTTCTAACGAAGTAATTACACTACTTGTCCCACTGTCCCTTTGCAAAGATGAATTTTATGAAGTAATCTTTATGTTCATTAATACCATTTTAAATCTTCTGGATGCAGAATAAATTCAGGTATTTCTGTAAGAGACAGCTTTAATTTCAAATTCTCACTGTCAGACCTTGCATGGTAGCAGAAAATACCTGCTTATTAAACTGTGAAGACATTTATTTAAAAATCGAACATTGAAATATGTTTTTGTAATAATTTTATCTATACTCTGTTTTTAAAATATTTATGCTTTGATTTGGACTTGCTAGTGTTTAGGCTGGCTTATTTGTAATTCTGCAGTTAAACATTTCACAAGTTGCACAATGTGAAACATCTAATTGATATCAAGCTCTAATTTTTCTGTGAATATACAGACTCAGTAATTTTGGGGTATCAACTGTAATCATAGGTTTTTGCTCATTAGCGGCATACAAATTGTTACATTCTTAATCATTCAGTTATGTAATTTGCCATGTTAAAGAAGAGTGAGCATTAACAGGTAGAAAGAAAAAGCCTACTCCTGTATTTACATGGAGAGCTGTCTCACTAGTATGTGAAGAAATAATTGTCACTAGTTTCAGACATTGCAGAACAAGAACGTAGATTTACTGAGGTAAAGTAGCAGGCCTTTCTTTTGCCATCCTTCTTGTGGAATAGGTCTGTATCGAACTGTTTTGGCCAAATCCATTACATTGCATTGAATGGTGAATGTTAGACAAAAGGTCTTTCTGTTTAGGGTTTTAATTAACCAACTTGTAGTTTTGTTTTATCGGAAGGAATTTCATTTCCATTTAGTTCTTCTCTTTTCTACCCGTCCTGGCCTTAGTCTAATTCCAGGCTTTCCCAGAACATGTTGTTCTCTGATTCCTTGTGCTGATGCCTATCTACTCTTCTGACAGCTCCGTGTTCCTCCAGCCTCTGCCTTGTTTGCTTGTGGCTTAGAGTTACTCTGAACTAATATTGCTGCAAGCATCATTTCCATAACTGCCTACAAAATAGAAAAAAGGGAAGAGTGGCTGGGTGATTGCAGTGTGGTGCTTCTGAATACTAATGTGTGTTTTATAGTGAGTGCAAATGTAACTAACACTTGATGGTGTTTCTGAAGAGAAATTGGGATTCCTGAAATTGTGGCTGTGTCTATTTTGTAACCAAATAATGTATAAAAAAGTTTAAATTGTAGATACAAGGCATATTTAGGTCTCTTGCAGCAAGAACTGGATGTGGTTCCTTCTAACCCTTTATCATATCATATGCTGTAGGCCTTTAGCCAAAGGATTAGCCAAAGGTAAGAAATTTCCATCCCTTCTGTAGTAGCCAGCTAGCATTATGCAAGTTCCCTAGAATAATTCAGGAGCATAAACACCAAATTTAATACTGCTGATCATTGTCATAAAGTTGGTGACTTCAATCTCTTTGACAGTTTTCCTTGCTCGAGATCAAGACACTTCTTCAGTGGCTAGGTCATCACCAGAATGTGTGACGAAAAAACTAAAGCGCTTTGTATTTTCCTCTTAAAAGCGTTCAATCATATTCTGTGTTTCAGATGAGTTTGGAGCTTTGGAAAGTGTAAAAGCTGCTAGTGAACTCTACTCTCCTCTCTCAGGAGAAGTGACTGAGATTAATGCTGCCCTTGCAGATAACCCAGGGCTTGTCAATAAATCTTGTTATCAAGATGGTAAGATGTCATTTTTATTTTTCAATAATTAATACCACTTGGATTCTTGCTATCACACATGGCTCTGCAATTCCTAGTTCTTCCAGTTTAATGGTGTGGAGGGTTAAATGGAATATATTGAATATAGTTCAAGCCCAATAAAATTTAACATTGAAGTATTATTGTAGTCTTGTCTTTGCTGACAGCTGTTTTACAATGTGTTCTTTTCAGACATAGACTGTGGTTGAATTTAAATCTGTTTCCTTTGATTGCATTTCTCTTTTTTGATCTTGTAACGGTTCATGATACTGAGAGGTCAGGCTCTTTTACTCTTTCTAGACAGCGTCTCCTTAATGCCACTGTCAGAGACAGAACTAAGTTAGATAGCTGATCTGACTCAAAAGGCTGTTTCTTATGACAAGGTGTGTGTTTGTTCAGTTTTTAAAGTATTGAAACGTTGTTTTGCCTGCATAAGAAGTCCTGTTGATTCTAGCAGTGTTACAGGGCTTGTATGCCTACTGGGAGTGGTTTTCTAAGGTATAACATGAATTAATCTTTCTTGTAGGATATTAGCAACTGTTTTTCTTTTTAATTTCCTAACTACAGGTTGGCTTATGAAGATGACTGTGGATGAACTTGATGAACTGATGAATGAAGATGCCTATGAGAAATACATAAAATCCATTGAGGACTGAGCTGGAATAATGAAATAAATCCATATAAAATATTTTGGTGTAGTTTGTCATCACTCAGTGAAGTAGAGAATATCCAGTTTTGGCAACCTGAAAAATACCACTTATGATCACATATACAGGCCATAAATAATTGCAGTGATAAAAATGTTTAACATCTGCATACCTGTGAGGGTTTTTTATTCTAGATTATCTGATTTATGTAACTTCAGGATGTTCTCTATGACATTTTGGGAAACAAAATTTATTTGCTAAAATATATACTTCCCAAGATTCATTTGACAATCAAATTTAGTAACAACAGCCTTAATATGGTAATTCTGTTGTAGGCACATGACTGTTCTCGTAACCTGGACTACAGCTTTCCCTGAAATACTTTTGTATTGCTCCCAAGATATTGAAAAGCAGTGCCTCCCTAACTTCCTAATATTTTTCCGAATTATAGTTGCAAAGATGATACCAAAAAAGGAGAAGACATATCAACTACCTCTTTGCCTGATTTTTACTTCATTACAGAATGTGTTAATCCTTTATGTTTTCCTTCTTCTTTTTATTATGTAATCAAATAGTTCTGCCTTTGAGGCAAAAGGGTATGGTCCTTGTCTTCTGATTTATATGCTTTCTTATATGCAAAACTCATGCAATGATAGTTTATCAAGGTTCTCGAGTGGATTGTTTAGGCTGTATTTTTTGGCTGGTAAGCACTACGTATGTCACAAGGAATTCTACATCTTGTGCTTCGCAATGGTGGTTTCAGAAGAGTAGATACTTTTGAAACTTGTCTGATCAGTAATAGTTTGACATACAATCTATCCATGTGTGTTTGTCTTTAAGATCAAGTAGGCACACTGCTGTAATGACATTACAGGAATGAAACTAAAACTTCTGCTTTGCAAACCAGTAAACTAAAGCGGCTGATTCCATTAGACTTAATATTTAATGAATCCACAAAAAAGTACACTCAAAGTTGATGTGACATCTAAGGGTAAGGTTGAGCTGTACGGACCTGCACTTTAGGAAAACATAATAGCACAGCAGAGTTTTGGTCTAAAACTTTTTTCCTACAATTTTAAGATAGTGATTAGAAGCTAAGCACAAAACAGGAATGAAAACCAAGTATCTGTAAGTTGATCTAAGAGGAAGCAGGGGAATGCTTAATCCATATAAGATGACAAAGGCAGAATTCATATTCCTTTGGAAGTTACTTTCAAAAGCACAGCCCTTCTAAAGGGCAGAAATACACTGCAGGTTATATAGAAGCCTTTCTAGTGTATAAAAATGTAGGTCTTTTAAGATCTGAAGGGATGTCAAAGTAATTGGTGGGTTTTTTTAAATCCTAGGAGCTAATTTTTCCTACAGGAGTCACAGATAAAAGCCCTGCCAAGAGAGACTCACTGTGTATTTAAGATGAAACTATCTTCTCTATAGGAGTTAAGCTGCAAAGTGACCAAGAGGAAAAGAGGGGGTTTGACTGTTCCACAGGAGTCCTAAGCTGGCAGTGGCTGATAAACAAAAGGCTCCAGTAAACCTAGTGTAAATGCTTTAAAAACTGTCAGTACTTATCCATTATGCAGTATCATGCAGTATTTATTGCGACAACATTCAGGGTGCAGAGAGCTGGCAGCTTGATCCTGGTCTCTTACAGACTCCCTGTGTCAGTTTGGGTCTTTGACCTCCCTGTGCGCTTTCCAAAGGGGAAGAGAAAGTTTGTTTCAAATTAGAATGAGCCCAGGCAAATGGGGATAGGAATGCATGAAAATGGTTTGGTTTGATAATGTTTCTTCCGTGAGATTTTTTTTCAACTTTACTAGAGAGTAATAGGTCCTTCATTCATTGCCATGTAGTATATGACCCTTGTGGATCTCCCTTTAAGGGTTAGTCCAGAGCATTATAATGCATTTTTATAAAATTTTTCCCTTAAAATGTTTATATTCTTTCCTTTTGATCAATGAAATATGAAATAGTCACTTCTGTAATCCCCTAAGGAACCTGGGGAATAGTGAAGACTGCCAAATCTCATCTCTTCCTCAAGCTTTGCCCTCATCTGTGTATCAGCAGTGTTTATAAGGTTATATAAGGTTACACATGAGTATGGATAAGTGACAACTTTCTCAAGAAACCCTCTGAAACAGAATTCAACCTTTCTTTCATGGTGTACAGTTGGAGAATGGATGTTCTTTTGTTTAAAGAGGAGGACCGGGAACCTCTCTATCTCTAGTTCTTTTAGGGTTTTATATGACCTTAAAGTGATTTATGAAATTTCCCACTTCCTCCTAAAATGGGAACAATACTTAGGTGCTTTTCTTGTGTGGTTTATGCCGAGAGCTCTGGTATTCTGTAGTTATTTAGGCCAAAGGATGTCTACTGGAGTAAATATCTTTATATCTTTCTAGAATCCACTCAACTACCTGAATTAAGCTGCCAAAAGAATGTATTCTTCCATGTTTGAAGTATGCTACTGAAGCAGAGCTCCTAGCTTTCAAATAATCCCGTAACTTCACTACATTCAGCAGCAGCAGGAAGCCTCAGGCAGACCACCATGGACAGGTTCGAGCCAGACTCTGCAAGAGCATGAATGCAAAAGTTGCCAACAAGAATCCGTAATGAAATGCCTTTCGTAAAAATAAAAGATGCAATGAATGTGTATTAGCTTTGGTCTATGACACAATTTTAAATGCTTTTGTATAAATAGTAGGGGAAAAGACCAAACTTGTGTGTGCTCCTACAGAAAGTGAATAAAGGAAAGGATTTTTTACAAAATAACCACTTTATCTGTGACCTCTTAAGTCTTGATCCTGAGCTTAAGAATTTAACACTTATAATTCCTGAATACTAAACATTAGAGACTCAGTAGAGAGAAGTTTTATGGCAAATTATGATTTCCATACTTCTCCCACAGCCATTAATTGTATCCATCTCATAGGTGTTAATTATATTATCACCTTCCTTCTTGCCAACCCTTCCTTCTGTTCCATAAGTACCAACCCCTTTATCTCTCAAATTATCTAACTGAATAATATAAACTAAACTTGGAGCTAATTTTTTCCAATCCATGTCTAGTTTTGAAGATTTTTCTCAGTATCAGTCCTGAAAAGATTGCATGCCTAAAATTTTGTCTGGTTTTCAACCAATGAAGCACTGCCTCTCCCTGTGACTCTTGACCCATCAGGTATATAAACACAAATCATGTGTTTCTATTGTTACTTCTGATCAGAGCAGGGGGAAGGAAGAAAAAAAAAAAAAAGAAAAATCAATGATGTAAAACTCAAACAACAAAAAAACCCCATAAATAACAACACTTGGTATTTTGATGAACATAAAGTAAGGGCAATGTCAACTTCCCCGTCATTAAATTAGCAGCAAGACAATTACCTATGCAGCTCTGATGATAAGGTTAGAAGTGCAGCAGCTCTCAGTTTCTAACGCCCCCTTAACTGGTGGCTCCAGACAGTTGATGTCCTGTGGATAAGGATCCTCTTTCCTGTTTCTTCATACTGATAGATTGGGAATTTGCAATCCTCCTGTAGTAATGGCTCCCATCACAGAGTTTTAGTATGCCAAACTGACACATAAAGGACATAACATCTATCTTCACGTCAGCTTAGTCATGTGAATAAAAAGACCTGTACCAATAAATCAATCCAGAATGATTCTCAGCTCCTCAACTGAGCACGTGAGGCTTTTCTGTTGTGATGTTGGGAGACATCACACAGCAAGAGGCAAAGGAAATTGCACCACCTGCGCTGCATATTTTGGAGAAGAGAAAGAAAACCTAAGAGTGCATAATTAATTAATAACACGAGTTCACCAGTGGGTGGAATGCTCCAGGTTGTCAAATGGTGACAGGTGCCGATTTAAAGAATTGCAAGTTAAAAAAGAAATAATTGCATACTTTCACCACACGGCGGCACTGAAAACGTTAAAGATGGTAACACGGGGCACGGTAAGGCAGTGCGGTCAGCCTGGTTTTCTACCGAGCTACTTAGTCCCTAAAAGGTACTGCAGCACAATTTAATTTCCTAGGTCAACTTCAAGAGCAGAAAAAATATTAAGCACATCTTGCTTCATTGAAAATGTTTAAAACACAGTCCTCACACCAATATGTGCAACAAAGGAATCAACTTAAACTTTGTTTTATTGTATCCATTATCTTACCACCTTTCTTCTCCCCCAGTCTTGTCTTCCCCCTTCTTGCACCATGCCTAAAATTTGGCCTGGTGGGGAAGGGGTATGCACAGACAGTCGAAAATTTTACCAAGTTCCAAACATGATGCCAGCCATTAAGTCAATAGGAGCCTTTCAATAACAGAGCAGAGAGTGACTGGTAGCTTTGGGAAAAATGTTCTTCCAACCAAAGTCACAGGTGAAACTGCTTTTACATTAATGAAGCTGCATCAGTCTTAGAGAGACTGCAAAAGTCATCTCCATAACACAGTGCCATTTCTACAAACGTGTTTTAATGAGGTGAAATGTGACTGGACCGACGGAAAACTGAACATTCTTTGGCAAGCCATTTCCAGGGAATATGACCTCATGGATGTAAGACAATATTAAAAGACTCTTAGCACTGTCCATCAGTGTAAATCACCAGCAAGATATGCTGCAGACAGCACAGACAAATTTTGAGAGCAGCTTAGCAGTGTCCTCAAAGTAATTTACTCCACTTTCCCCACATTACTTGAGACACAGTCTTAGAGGAAGAGTTCCTTGGCAGGAGAACTTAGTCTGTGGCATCCGAATTGGTTAGAGTTTGCCTCACAATATCGATATCCCTCTCTTCCTGACAAAGCATAATTCAGTCACTTCAGACCTGATCTATTTTAATGCAGTACAAGTGTCCTACATCCTCTGCTATTAGGCTGTTTTATTAGTCATTTGTTTATAGTGTTTAATTATTAATGCTATTGAATGTATTTTGCTTAGAGATGTATTTTAATGGAGATACAGCACTTGTACCTTTCTCTAACCAAGAAAATCAATCCACAAGATAGGAGGATGAGCCTGCACTTCTTGGGACTCAAGAGTACTTCTGTTTTTCAGCTATCACCCCTCTCCCTTCTTCACTGCATGGGTCTAGACGAAGAGAAAATGACAGAGAATTAAGTATTCTTGGCAGCTCCTGTCTGTTCCGACAACCCCTCACTTGTGCCACAACTAGTAAGGCAAAGCCAGTGATAAAACTGGTGTAGTATCACCATTGCACGGCTCTTTTTCTGCAATGTATCATCCTCATCTACAACTGAAACATTTTTGCAGCTTTCTGTTAGACTAAGGGGC